AAATAGAGCCTGCTCATACGGACACAATATAAGGAAAATATGTGTCCGCATGCATCTACTGGAACAGGAAATTGTGAACTGAGCTGGGCTTTTGTTTCTGCCAAACTGACTTAACTAATAAAGAAAGGCATGGCAATGCACACATATGAGCATGTTCATCCTCAATGTTATATTGATGCTATTTTCCTACCCTGAGCTGCTACACTGTGGATCTTGCTTAGCTGTTGAATAATTCCTGCACTGTGCTCTGTTGTGGCAAGTCTGGTGCAGCCTGACTGCGCCACACGGCAACAGCTCTGCATTTGCATTCAGCGCACACAGTTTTGCGCCTATGTACTCACCCAAACATCTTCCAGTCTGTGTCAATTGATTTGATGGGGAGAATTGAAACATGCTGTTGAAGTCAGCTTTTTAAAAGCAACTGCAATTTTCTGTCAGTTATTAAAGGGTTTTCTGATATTTTTTTCTCCCGAATCATCCCAAAATCTGATGGTAATCTGACAAAATATTGTAAAACATACATTTACAACCACCACATCTGTCTAGAGAAGAAGGTTATATGTGGCATTTAAGCTCAAGGGCCTTAAAAAGAAGAAATGGTGCTGAAATGTCAGCTCTATTTTAAAACGGCATGCATGCTGATGTGTTGACCTCTTTGTACTGTGTTTAAAAGGTTGTGTAGCTGTAGAAAAAGAAAATTGGGTGGAGGTATCGGCTTTCTCGTAGAAAAAGGAAAAATACATTTTAAAAGTCTTTGTCAGTAAAGTAAAATAGCTTAAATTCTTGTCAAATGATTCTGTTAGGTGCTGCCTAACACATTTCGCTCCTGTCACTGGGTCAAATAAATCTTGATCTGCTCTGCAAACGCCATTGATTAAAACATCAACCCAACATGGACCTGATAAGTTCCCATATGTATCTGACTTATTCTTTTTTTTAAAACCCTAACACTAAACCTCATCTACAATGGAATCTCTACTTCATATATTGTTGCTACACCAAAAAAGAAAATGAAAATGATAACCTGACAGCTGCTAAGCACAAGAATAACACTTAGACATTTATGAAAGATGGTATTTGGAAAACAAAATTGCATTAAAAATTTAAGACTTGAAAGAAAAGATGTGGCTGATTTACAGTGATGTAAAGAATTTAGACCTCACAAAAGGTGGTTTGTTTTTATAACAAATTTGTATAAACAGATATATCCATCCCTCCCTTCATCCCTCCATCCATTCATCCATCCATCCCTCCATCCATGCATCCCGACAGTCTACATTCTAGAAACATTGCAAGTAAATAATTCCATATAAATGATTTAAAAAATAAATGGTATAAATAAACGAAACTGATTAAAATACTTTAAACTTCATGTAAAGGGCAACAACAGTCCATTACATTCCTTTTTTTTTTGAGAATTAAAGCTACAGTGTGTAATAATTACAGGGATATACAGTCAGAAGTGTAATATATTATACATAACTATGTTATTTTATCATCATCTACGAGCTCAGCCTCTTAACCTTAATATTTGCGTTGCCTTAGAATTTCGTTATTTATAATTACATAGGAGCGGGTCTCGCAGCCATGGAGGCAGACATCTTTGCGCTACGGCAGCGCAGAGCCAACAAACTAGCCATTGCGAGATCGCCAAAATGTCACAACGATGTAGAAAAAATAACGGGTATATTTATTATCTTAAGTCTGCACGAAATCTATACCCTACACAGACTAATGAAATACTATCTGTAAAATTATCTATGTAAACAAACCTCGTCACTTGAGAAAGTAGGTGATGCAGACGTCGTGGAAGACATTTTGTCCCGTAAAGCTTGCCGTACTGTTGGGGGGGAGAAGCGGTGGGGGGGAGATGTTCATGTTGCTGCAGTCTGACCGCTACATGTCGCTAAAAGTTACACACTGTAGCTTTAAAAGAGGACATTTCCAAATTTAATTCTATTTAGTATTGATAAAAAAATCCCACAGAAGCAGTTCCTTCAAAAAATAGTTACTTAGTATTTTGCTGAAATATTCTCTACTTTTAAGATCTAACAAGTATTTATGCTGGTGTGTTTATGACTTCACTAAAAGGGAACACCAAAGTAAGACTAACGGCTAAAAAAAAGAAAGAAAAGTGATCCACCCTGTGCATTCAGTAAGAGATCGCTGATGTTTAACTTTCATGGGAGGTGTGAAAGGAAACTAAATTTCTGTAAGAATAACATCCAAAGCTTGGCCTGAAAGCTGTTTAAAAAAGTCAGATTCAAGTTTGCTACAAAAATAAGGAAAAGGACTAGCCATTTGGAAATAATGTAATTTGGACAAATGGGTCTAAACCTAAATATTATAGACATAAGAACATAGTATATATTTGCTGTCGCCAAAATAAGACATTTCAGGAAAACCTAAAACAACATACCAACTTCAAAGCATGGGATCAGATTAAATAAATTCCATCTAGGTAAGGACGTTTATTTATGTAACACATTTCAACAACAAGAAAAGTCCAAATGCTTTACTTTCATCATCACCATCATCATCATCAACAACAGCAGATGTATTTCCAAACTACATTATGAGAACACAATGAAAACAGTTTATTAAAAGTTTGCCTTTAAATTGTTCAAATTCTGTCTTTGTTACTATGTTTTACAATTTCACATTTTTAATGTTTTTCTTTTACAGGTTTTTGACTCATTGACTTATGTTTTTTTTTAATATATATTACAGGCGAATTTACAAACTGGTGGAGCATTGTTTTCTTAATCAGCTTGGTAAGATAACACTGGCCACTTTTCCCCGACTAACATTGCATCTATGATCATTTTGGTGGCCATTAGCTTTTTGTTATACTGCCCCCCTAATCAAAAAAACAAGATATCTGATGTAAGTTTGCAAACTTTAAATTTTATAAGAAAATTTGGAAGTTTGGCTTAAAAAAAGAAATAACAGGGGTCCAGTGACTGCCTAAACGTGCAGCAGGTTGGGCATCTGTGAGCAGCCTAATAAAGACAAACCACAAGCAGCAGTGCTTGTGATATGTGCAACCAAACACCTACTACTATAGCGGGGGGTTCAAAGCGAAAATAGACCTAATTCAAGTTAATTCCTGAAATACATGTTCGCTGGTGGGTAAATGATTTTCAGACAAAAAACTTAAGATGATGATACATATATACATACATTTGAGCTGTGTTGTATTTAAACCCTGAATATTTCATCGTCCTTATCAGAAACACAATGCTTAATGTCATCTCAAAATGTTTTGTTGGATCAAGGTCTATAAATTCAGCTCGTCATTCCAACACATTAGAATGTTAGTCTAGATGCTGCCCACTTGTTGATGTGTTTAGTATTTCTGTCTTGATTTATGAGATATGAGTTGTTAGAGGGCTGTCTGACAAACAGTTTTGAATTTAAAAAAATCAAAGATTGATCATCTCATTCATAAAATACTTCTATGTTTGTTTTTAGCCCGGTCTCTGTGTTCTTTGGCAAACTGCAACACTTTTAACATATGCCGGTTCTTTTAGTGATGCTCTGCAACGGCTTATTGTTGGTAGATTGGCTTCACATATGCATGTTCTAAATTTCACAGTAATACCGGTTTACTAGACTGTGTGGCATTGGGTTTTTATTTTCATTTGTTGTCCAATATTTAATCCATTGGAATGATTGAATTCCATTTTCTCCTGCATCTTTTGAATTGGTTTTCCATTTTGAGGCATTAAGAATAATGCCAGTTCCATAGCCTAGTATTTTCTGTAGTATTTTATATTTTACTCTCTTAATCAATGTTTTAATTAGAGTTTACCTTTGATCAAAGAAAATATACATATTTTTTGTAAATGTTCAGATGAGCTATGAGATATGCACTATAACCGCATCCATCCCTACATTTTCAGTACCCAAACTCAGTAAAGTTCATGGGACGCTATTATCAGGCCAGTTACACCACATACAGGTCATCAAACCATCAGACATCACAATACAACATGGACACAGACAGGACAAACACCTGACACTTATGCAAACACTCACCCATACCAATGGAAAATTAAAGGATAGCCAAAGTATCCAGAGAGAACCCACACATGCCCACAGACAACATGCAAACCCCAGACCAGAATTGTAACCCAAAGCCTTCTTGCTACAAGGCAATAATGCTGCCAGCTATGCATCATGCAGCCCCCAAAGATAACCAAACAGCATAATATTTTCGGACCTCTTTAAATAATTGCTAACTGTGTGACAGCTGTTTTATTTGTTGTGTTTGTTATATCAAAGGATGAATGATCTCACCATTGAAACTCCACGTTGCTATTGTTTTAAACATGCCCATTTCAATTTATCATTTAATTACCTAGAATCAGAGGAATGCATCTCATGGGTTTCTATTACCCTACTACAGCTGTTAATGGATTGTTTGCCAGATTGAAATACAATTTCTAAAAAAGTGATAGATCTGAATTGTATGTTGGAAATCTGCCTCTTAAGTGCAGATTCCAAGAATCCATGGGGTTACTGTTGGGACAGGTAGCTTATCCTGCCTGTGCAGCTACGTTGAATGCGTTTAAAACAGGCTTCATAACTGCTTCTTCCCTCAGGTATATTAAATACCATATCTGATTCTTTTGTTATTCAAGTGAAATCTGATATTTCTTTCAAATAAAGCAAATGCAAGATAATAAAAAGGTGTCAGCAAGGTGCTATGGTAAGTTCACCACATCAGGAACATCACTGTAAGTAACTTCTGTAGACAGAGACAGTAAGAGAAGACAATAGCCAATAGTGAGCCATGCGCAAAACAATAGAGCCTGTAGGATCGCCTGTGAGATCCACGAACAAGCAGAGGTTTATCAAAGGCTTCCTTGCGATAGTGGAATATCAGAAATAGTTTTCGTTTTAAATAATATCCTAACCCATACATGAAAAATCGGACAAAAGAAATTTCCTCAGGCATCGGATGTGCTGCAGGAAATGTGAATGTGGCTACTTACAGTTCTAAGGAACTGGATCTCATCCTCTCCTTCTCCGCCTTCAGCCATGGCTGCAAAGGAGCCCTTTCAGACTCCGCTGGCTCCGCTCCCCTTGTCGATATTAGCATACAGCTAATTCACAGCCATAAAACGGGAAGAGTACCGCAGCATGTGTCAGTCAAGCCCGTGTGCTTACGCCCCGCTCGCCGCCCGGCAGAGGAGTGCGTCTCAGCATCGGCGCGGAAAGAGTAACGCAGAAACGGCGGCCGCCTGGGTTCTTTATCGTCGACGTCACCGATAAGGCTTATCAACACGGTCGTGAAAGCGCGAATATTCAAACAATGAGTTGGCTGAATAGAGTGTGAAGATGTTATTTTGTTTAGTTTTTTCTCGCCCTTTTCTGCCAGGCTACAGCTTTAATTTCCCAAAGGAAACTCACGGAATGTGCTATTTCCAGCGAGAGTCTAGATCAGCACCATGGTCAGCGCCCTGCTGCGCCCACACAAGATTCTGCACAACCGCTGCTCTGCTGGAAGCCTGCGAAACATTTTATGTACTTAATGCATATTAACACAAACATATCTAAGCTGAAAATGCATTATTTCCTTCTAATAATTTGAGCAAGTCAAATATATTTTCTTATTGTACTGTGAAATTACTTATTTATCATAAGAAGCTGTTGTTTGTTCGAATTAACAGTTGTATTCTTAACAATTTACCATGAAGGACGGTTCATAGCATCCAAGTAGAATTAAATTCCAATCTGGATTTAAGAGTTATTACTAAACTAGAAATTAAATCAAATTCACTCGACAAATATAAATAAATGCTTATTTTTATGAGCTTACGGGCTGATTTGTTTCCAAACGGTAGCTCACATTGCCCCATACATAACACAATTTGATTATTTCCAGTTTGACAGTATATTCAAAAATGGTTTCACAATACAATGCTGCCCTCTATTGCCTAAATTAAGAAAAGTTTTGCCCCATAGCCCCCCTGAATGCTTTCCTCTGATTAGAACAATAGCATGTATCTGAGCTAATAAAAAATAAAATTATATTTATTCAAATTTGTTCCTCACGTTTATTTTTTTTAACAGTTTTATGTATACTTTTTAAAGTTGGGTTAAAAAGACTGCAAGCCTGTCCCACTGACTCCCATCATGATGAAGTGCTTCAAAAGGCTGGTTAAAGAGCACATCATCTCCAGCCTCCCCCCAACATTTTCCCGTTCCAGTTTGCCTACTGGACAGAACCGCTCCACTGAGGACGCCATCACCTCTGCTCTTCACCTGAGCCTACAGTAGCACACCTGGAGGAGAAGAACACCCACATGCGGATGGTGTTCCTGGACTTTAGTTCAACCTTGATCACCATTATCCCATAGTATCTGATAGGCAAACTGGAACAGCTCGGCTTCAATACACCCCTCTGCAATTGTCTGCTCGGCTTCCTCCCAAGCAGACCTCAGTCAGTCCATGTTGGACAGAATACCTCTGATGTCATCACCCTAAGCACAGGCTCCCCTCAGTGTGAATTAAATGGCCTATTAGCAACAAAAAACAAATATATCTCTGCAGAAATAAGTTAGTATAGTATATGCTCAAAAAGTAAAATAATTTCCATTTAAAGAGTAAATTGAAACATTAAAAATTTTAACATTACTGCTTCTTAAATGGGAATCAAATTTATGATGACAGGATTACAACTTGCATTTTCTGTATACCTACAGGCAGCTTAATGTTTTCCAAAGTCAGACATAACCATCAGAAATTATTTACTTAAATAATTAAAATCATTACTGTTATTAATTCAGAGTTTGAAAAATGCAGTAGTTATACTTCCAAGAAATTTATTATTTCCAATCCTACAGGATCCCTGCAGCTCATAATGCAAGTTTAAACATCATGGTCAGAATTTCTCATGCAAAAAAATCTAATGGTATCAAATTTTATTGATTGAGCTTTTAGATAACATTTATTCATTGTGCTGTTTTGATAAACTGCAAGTATTTCATCTTTTAACAGTTTATTTAATCTGTTAACAAATTAACTTTATGTCTTAGCTGTTTCATATAAAAAAAAGTCCAACTGTGTGCCAAAGATTATTTATCGGTTTTGCACATTTCAATATTGATTTAAAGGTAAACATCAAATACAAATCTTTTTTTTTTTTTCTGAGATATTAACATCCTACACTCAAGGGTGTATTAAGTACACAAAGTTAGATATGTAATATTTCAGATCTAAAGTGACTACCAGATATAGGCTTTTCTCCTCAGTGGTAGATCATTAATGGGACACCATACTGTATTTTTAGGACAAATTTGTGTTCAGAGGTTTCCTTTTTTTCATATGATTCACATGACTGTTTTTAGACAAAGTATTTCCAGGACATTTAGACATAATCTGATAGTATCAACACCATGCAGATATGACCATTTTCAAAACAAATAAAACAATAAAATCCCCTCCTATGAGGATATGTCTACATGCAGTCTCATGAGTGTAATCAGTCAACTGGTTTGGCTGAACCCAATGGTTGGTTGTTTGAGCCCACCAAAGAAGGATTTTTTTAAGCTTTGATGCCAGGTATTTAAAATGGCACTGCAGTTTTTTCTCATGTAATTCAAACCAGCAGTGCCATAGTGAAAATCCAGCACCCAACATATCTCATCCCTGTTGCAATATTCTCAATAACCAATGCATTTAATCATTTAAAAATAATAAAATGGGTGAGCTGTTCAATTCCAAAAAGACAAATGATTCACTATGTAAGTCCTGCTTTTGTCAAACCACTATAACTTATTTAAATATTTTGTCTCCTTTTGCACGCCATTTAAAAAAATAATAATAATAATTTATTCATTTTTATTTCATTTGATATGCAGCACAACTGACATTTCAATACAGTTCCATGTATTGCTGAATAGTATATTATTATAGGTACTGTATAATAATCTATTGAAGATACAGGTAGGGTGGAAGGATGGACGGACGGACGGACGGACGGACGGATGCATGGACGGATGGATGGACGGACGGATGCATGGACGGGTGGACTAATGGAGGAACTTATGGACTTATGGATGAACAGGTGGATAGATTTCCACTAATTAGTTCAGACTTAGATGTTAGTTAACATGTCATTTCATTTATTCAGTGTAAAGCCCTTTTATCTGAACTTTTTTGAATTTGCATCAGATGGTTTAGGGCAAAGGTTTGGATGTTATTTGATTCATGCTATTTGTGTCCCTTTGGGATTAATAAAATATTTTTTTATTTAAATTAAATTTTTAAGACTCCACCCTGGTCAAATTATGAAGATGTATCTTGTTGTTTGTGTTCCCCAAGCACTATTTTATAAAAAAAAGTAGTTCCATACCATCATAGTACCTTGGTTAAACAAGCTTTTTGACACCTTTGACTGTGTCAAGAACTCAATTAATTTGAATTTTTTTCAGTTTTTGCCATCTATTTTCCATTTTAAAAGATGACTTTTTCACAGCAGCCATTCAACAGACAAGCATTTTTAATGGCACTCTTATGTAGGAACAAATTCATCGCATCTATATTTTCTGCAGGGGATAAATGTGCTTACAAATCTGCGTTGCCATGTTTGAGTGTTTTTTTTTTGATAACCTTTTTCTCTTTAAGTTTAAAAATTGTTTTTTTTCTAATCACACAACTCAGTTTAAAAGAGTATTTAGGTATAATTCTTGCTTCTTGTTATTGATTTTTCAAAGGAGGTTAGGTTTTTCATAAAGTGTATTAATAAAAAACACATATCTGATCATTTTGAAGAATAGACAACCATACATATTTTTAAAATACTATATACTTGGCCTATAACCCTCTTAGTAGTAGACAAAACATTTAACTTTAAACACTTTATTTACTGCAGCTGCAAAAGTTAGGTGCAAAATGATAAGGATTTTCATGTCTTTACTGAGACTTCATTGTTTTACACAAAATATTGTGTAAAACAATATTTTGCGCTAAAGGGCGGTTCTAGACAGGGGCCAAAGGGGCCAGTGCCCCTGTAGACCATGTCCTGGCCTGTTATGGCCCCTGTATTGAAGACATAATACTCAAAGAAATTCTAATGATGATATGTGCTGAAACAGTCACTGTTAGTGATAGGTCCTTTGGATCTATTTCATTTTTTTTTCTTTACAAAAATATGTTTAATTATCTAAAAACAATAAGGTGATAGCTTCAGTGGAATTGAGATAGGATCCCAGTTTTCAAAACAAATAAAAAAAAAACTTTAATTTTTACAGCTGAATTTATCAGTTGTTCTTGAGTACAAATTCAGATTTTATAGAAAACTGTAATTTTAACTTAAATTAAGTCAAAAAATATGTAAAATTCTTGAATTATAAATTTATATTGACCTAATAAGACAGAATTTTAATTAAACCTAATTGAATAGAAATGTCACTTCATTCAGCTATCTTAATATATTTGAATGCCTTGCTCTGTTTTTTATTTAATGTTTTTCGGGGCCCCCGTGGGTCCCCTCCTGCCCCCCTTGTACATTTTTTTCTAGAATAGTATGTACCGCCACTGGTTGCGGTACATAGCCTACTGTGTGTGTACTTTCATAATAAATCGGCTGCCTTAATGTTGCATGCACAAACTCACCACTATGCGGCTCTGTTTTACAACACATGGTGATAAATTAGCAGGTAACTGGTTAAATATGCCTATTTCGGTTGATCAGGGGGATTGTGATTTTTTCATAGGAAAGCAAAGACATTTAGGAAATAGATGCAACATTTTTTATCTTTCTGTTTCCGTTTTTCTCCTGGACCCTGGAGCTCTCCCATCACATGTCGCACCTGCAAGTCCAGCTGCACTGACTCAAACTGTGGGCTGGCCCCTTAAACACCTCCCAACCTATCAGAGAACGTGGATCCAGTGGGGAGCTTTCCTATTGGTTAAAGCTCCTGTTCATCACAGAAGGCCAGCCCGGAGAAGCTGCGGTGAGCATAGGCTGGCTTCAGAACAGCGATGTGAGGCATTATATTTACATTATACCGAACCGGGTAAGTCTATTTTTTACATATTAACCCTGTGAGGCTTTAATTTCTCCTCTTGTAGTTGCAGGAGATTGTAGCTCATTTTAAACTGCAGAGAAAACACTGTATAGTAACCTCATAGGGGGATATTTGCAGTTTTAATACATAACATGTTAAATAATAATAAAGTTACTGCAATGTTCGTCAATTTCATTTACACTGCTGTATTGTATGTTGTAAGAAGCATGTTGCCATGTTAAGGATGACAGACAGTCGTGGTTGCTACAAGGTTACAATAGCCCACTGGATTATGTTGTGACAAAACAGGGTTAACGTTTAAAGCATAGGACTGTGTTTATAAACATGTTTGATGGCAGCTCGGCGTAGGGTTCCGCGAGTCCTTTAAGCTTATGCAGGGGCCCAAT